TACCCAGTCTTTGGTCTTCCTCTTGCTTCTAATGTATTTGTAGACTGTTTTCTTGTTACTCGTTATGTCTCTAGCTAATTTCATGTTATTTTGTCCCTTGGTGTTTGTAATTTTGTCTCTATATGTTTGTTTATATTAACCAACTGCAATTTGTCTTAGTTTTCGCTTTTAGTTGGATTCTATTTTGAATTTCAAGTCATTGAAAATATCCAGGTAAGCTTGGGTGATCTCTTGCCGTCCTTCCTGTGCTGTGGAATACTTTGCTCTTTTGCTCTTAATAATGCCTCTGAAAAACTGCCAAGTCTCTTGAACTGTTTTTTCCCTTAGACATGCTTTCCATGAGATCTTACCTACCAACTCTCTGAGATTTCTAAAATCTGCTTTCTTGACATCTATTATCTTTGTGCTAATGTTTTCCCTCCTACCTTTCCTTAGAATCATGACCATTTTCACCTAATATATCATCCACTTTCAAAGTCTAAATTAGTTCTTCCTTATCTATCAAAATCAAATCTCTAACATCTTTTTCAACCTTCTGGAATAATACATTCATATATATATATCTGCAGTCAGGGCTTGACTGAGGGGTAGGTGAGCCAGGCAGCTGCCCAGAGTGCCAACCGATGGGGGGTGCCTGATGGCAGCTGTAAGGGGCGCACAGTGTCCCTTATAGCTGCCATTAGGCACCATGCGCCCGGCTACCACAGCGCCGGCCCCACGGCGCCGGCCAGCAGCGCCCTTCCCCCCATGGCCGCGGTATCCTGCACAGTCCGGCATGCATGCCAGCAGCAATAGCCAGGCAGGCTGGGCAGCGCATGCGCTGTGCACCCTGGGGGTGGACCCTGGGCTGTACGCCAGCAGCCGTGGCTGGGCCGTGCATGCGCCGTGTGCCTCGGGGGCGGGCCCGGGCCCCACGGGCAGGCCCACTCATGCACCATGCGCCCAGGGGCGGTGCCGTGCGCCCGGGCCCAGGGTGCCAAAATGGCTCAGGCTGGCCCTGTCTGCAATACATTCCAAGAACTTGTTGGATAAACTGTGCCTTGCTGAGTTATTTTCTTAACAGATGTCTGAGTAGTTGAACTCTCCCATCAGCACCAAGTCTTGTGCTTTGGATAATTTTTTTTGTTTGTTTTATAAAATGCTTCATTCCCCTCCTCTTTCTGATTATGTAGTCTGTAGTAGACCCCTGTCATGACATCACCCTTCTTGTTTAAATCTGATGAACTGTATGTAGCTTCAGCACCAGAGATTCCCCACCCCAGTGTAAATGGACAGGAAGGGGGAAAAGGAGGAGATATTCCTTTGGGGTATGTCTACACTTGCATCCCAGTTCAAACTAGGGATGCAAATGCAGGAATTCGAAATTGCTAATGAAGCGGGGATTTAAATATCCCATGCTTCATGAGCATGATCTCACAGGCGTGCTAGTTCGAATCACAGCTGATTCGAACCAGGAAGTGTGTGACGGGATGCGTTAGTTCAAACTAAACCCCCCAAAATGAGGAGTAATGTTAGTTCAAACCGAGGGGTTTGGTTCAAACTAACGTGTCCTGGAGTGCACTTCCTGGTTCGAATCAGCTGTGATTCGAACTAGCACGCCTGTGAGATCATGCTCATGAAGCATGGGATATTTAAATCCCCGCTTCATTAGCAATTTCGAATTCCTGCATTTGCATCCCTAGTTTGAACTGGGATGCAAGTGTAGACATACCCCAAAGGAATATCTCCTCCTTTTCCCCCTTCCTGTCCATTTACACTGGGGTGGGGAATCTCTGGTGCTGAAGCTACATACAGTTCATCAGGGCCAGCCAGTGGCAGGCCACTAGTTTGTTTATCTGTGTGTCCACAAGCATGTCCAATTGTAGCTCCCAGTGGCTGTGACTCACCATTCCCAGCCAATGGGAGCTGTGGGAACCACCGACAGCTAGGTCACTGTTTCCTGAAACTGGGAACAACAAACTGTGGCCATTTGGAGCTGCAGGGCTCTGTGCTTGCAGATGCTCAGGTGAACAAAATATTTGATGGGCTAACCCTGATGAATCATGTACCTCCACAATCTGGTGGTTCCCCACTCCTATTCTATACTAATATCCCAGTCACATGCAGTATCCTACCCAATCTCCGTCATTCCAAATGTCACAGTTGTTTTTATTTACTAGTATTTAGAGTTTTTCCTGCTTATTCCACATATTTCTTGCATTAGTAAACAGACATCTAAGATAATGATATAATCCTCCTTCCCTGGTCTTTTCTCCTTTCTTTCCTCTATTCCTGCTATTCTATACTAATATCCCAGTCACATGCAGTATCCTACCCAATCTCCGTCATTCCAAATGTCACAGTTGTTTTTATTTACTAGTATTTAGAGTTTTTCCTGCTTATTCCACATATTTCTTGCATTAGTAAACAGACATCTAAGATAATGATATAATCCTCCTTCCCTGGTCTTTTCTCCTTTCTTTCCTCTATTCCTGCTATAACAACCTATGATCGCCCCCCCCCCCCCCCCCCCCCCCCCCTTCCACACC